CCCCCCCCCCCCCCCCCCCCATCTGGGATAGATTGCGTGTTTATCTTTCTACGGAATATGCTTTGCATGCTTTGATGTACGGCCGCGGCTTGCAGTCTCTGAGACGAGTTGTGTTCCTAACCCTTGCCCACTGTTGGACACTCTTTAATGTTGCACCCGCCCGCCCCCCTAATAATAGGGTGCCCAGAAAAAGAGCGGATGGTCTGGGTTCTCCTAAGACCCCAAAATTAAAACACAACACTACTCATATCCAAGCCCTTTAGCTGGAACCGGGAAAGCTAAGCCCTCGCTCTAATACTGAGGAACAGCGAAGGGGAGGAGTCCTTGTTCTCTGGCCCCTTTGCTGCCCAGAGCTGGGGATTTGGGGTTCGGAAGACTTCGAGCCTTAGGGAATGCAGACTAGGATCAAATGGTTTGGGGGTAGCAAACGGGAGCCTAGAGTTTAGAGGCTTAGAGTCAAGAGGCAGAGCTAAGCCAGGGGAAGCAAGGCTCAAAAGAGATCCAGGCTCGTGAGGGTCTAGAGCATGAGAAAGCAGACCGGAGTTCTTCCATGGTAAGTACCTCAAAGGGTGTATTCCTGCCAGGTGACTTCATACAGGTCCTTAGTATTGGCCGTTTTTCGCGCCAGAATGTTCCAGAAGAATGAACAGCGTAATTGCGTGTTTCAGCGCTCGCAAGTACAGCTGTTGGGATGTTTGTCTTGGACTGCCTGCATCGGTTTTAGGGTGCTACTTTCTCTGGCAGAGCACTCATGGCTGCACAGGAGACTCAGACTTCCGAAAGCTGTCCATCGTCCTGATCGTCACTTGGTTCCCCTTCCCACTTTGGCTTCCCAGCTGGCATTGGGACAGTAAGTCGCGAGTCACCAGTCCTTCATTCTTCTTGGAGCCAGCCCAGAACGAATGAATTTCAATGGGCGTGTTTCAACTAGCCTGTCCATGCAAGTTCTGACTTAGTGCAATGATCCCAGCAATCTTCCTGAAACATCTGGCAGGGATGTTGCAAATGCACGCCGGTCTGATGAGTAGCGTTTCCCAGGGCCCGGTCTCCAGGTCGTACAAGAAATTTAGAGCGTGGTGAGGCGGCTTTCCTATGTTCAAGCGTTCTTGGCCTCTATATTAGGAGCCGGCAGCCCTAACCTTGGGCTTGTAAAAGATGGTCTGCCCCAGACAAAGGCTTTGACGGTGCCACGTCGGAAGGAACCGTGCGCCCATCCACAGCCATAGTCAAGTTATCATTGTTACTGATGTGCAGTGATGTTTGCAACGATGCCAGCCGCCCAGATTCAAATATGAAGCCGGACTCACAACCCGGTAAGGTGATGCCTCAAGATCTAAGTTCGTTGAGTGTCTCTACAATTTTGGTCCAGGTTCAGCTTGAGTGTGGAGGGTTTCGGTCTCGTCACGGACGGGTTCATCATCGAGATGGGCTGGGTCGTCCTGTGCCTTTGCGGCCAAGAGAGCAGGCAGAGGAGTTGAGAGTTTGGGCGTTCGGGCCGGATGGCTACAAGGATTTCCAGATGGGGTTACACTTGCCCTGTTTGCCCTAGATCGTCTGTTGTGATCATGACATTTCCCAGGCTAACGCATCTGCAGAAGCAAGGGCTGGAAGCACGAAGCATGTCCGTCAGTTGTCAGGCGTTTCTCAGTAGGCCATCCTACATCGGTCCAAGAAATACCAGGCAGTTCCACTGTATTTCGCCAACATGCTCACTAGGGGTGAGGCATAGAGATTCGGAGAGTAAAGTACCACGTATCCCCGTGCACGCCACTATTCAAGTTCCACAAGCATCCGTACATGTGGACGCAAGGCAGGTCAGCGTGGGGCTTCATCATGTTTTCAGATCCTGAGACAGAGAGGAGGAAACAGTGAGAACGGCATCTGTGACGTGATTTCATCAAGGAAGTGGCCTTTGGGTCCAATCGGATGTAGGCTTCAAGCGAACCTTGAATCATGTCTTGCGGCCAATACAGTAATTTCTAGAGCCCCTATCCGGCCCTTACTTCGCGCATGACCTGAGGCTTTGAGCATCGCAGAACTCTTTTTGTTCTGCACACTGATGCGTCAAATCCAATTTGCGAATCATTGCCATCAAGTGTTCAAGACCCGCGCAGCCAGACATTTCCAATTCACGAAGGTGCCTGCCCAGGACCTTACAGGATTGTCTGCGCACCTTGCAGAATCCGCATGGGAGCTGGGAAATCCCTTCCTAATACGTCTGCAACTTTGCCTCTCAGGAACATTGTCTCCAAGTTCTTGTTCATCATCTGGCTGCAGCGCTGTAAGATGGTGCACCAGCGCAAACTTGAGGCCATAGGTTGCGGGGCTTCATGGCACAGTTAACGGCTAGCGGCTGTATGGTAGAAGAAGCTAAGGGTGGGGGTGGTGGTGGGGGTGGT